GTGGCTTACAATTGTTTTTAACTCCAGTTCCAGGTGATCTGATGCCTTTTACTGGCCACCATGGGCTCTGCATGCATGTGGTACATAAACTCATTCAGACAAAATATCCAAATGCATAAAATTAAAAACAATGAAAGGTATTGTTTTTGAAGTGCTGGGGAAGGAACTAAGCCTCAGATGTGATAGACACACATTGTCCCTGTGGTGCAGACCCAGCCTTAGCTCCGTTATTTAATTCCACCTCTAGGAATGTATAGTTAGAAAACTGTCAAAGAGGGGCCGGAGCGCATGTCACCCACCCCCTCCTCCTCAGCACTGTGCCCCATGTCCAGCTGTCTCACCTCCTGAGACTCATTCCTAGTCTTTGATCAGAATAGTCAGAGGGTTTGGGCAGTGATGCACACCTTTAATCCCAGCGCTTGGGTGGCAGAGACAGGAGGATTTCTGTGAGTTCCAGGCCAGCCTGGTCTTTAGAATGAGTTCCAGGACAGCCAGGGCTACATAGAGAAACGCTGTCTCCAAAAAAAAAAAAAAAAAAAACAAACAAACAAAAAAAAACACAAACAAACAGAAGTTTAAATTGCCGTTGAAGTGTTTTGATGCATTTTCTTTTTTACAGTTACCTATCTTTTGAAGTGATGAATAGCTTCTTGTGGCATTTTCCCCTAGGGCCTTCACATTGTATCACTACATGTTAAACACTCCACTTTTATAGATAGGCTGGATTAACAAACTATGTAGTTTCAGGTTTGCAGGTGTTTAAGACAGGATTGTTCTACCAGATGAATCTGTGAAGTAGGGTATTGAAGTACCCTCGTATCATAAAAGAGTTACTGTACAATGAGAATTACATCAAATTTCAAATTTGAGCCTCACCATTTCCTCCTTTGGTGCCCTTCAATTAAGACTCTTTCTTAGCTTGAGTTATTGAAGGAGAAATGGGTCTGATGTACTACATACTTATAGGTAATTTCTGTAACATAGAGATTTCTTGAAATAGGTGATCATTATGCAGGGTACACTGGCCTCTAGCTCAGGTCTGTCTTAGCCTCCTACATGATGGAATTATAGGCCTGGCTCAAAAGTGGTTTTGTTTTCATTCTGTTTTATGAGGCATTCATTTGCAGTATACTTACTGAAGGGTTTGTGGAGAGTGATATGTACTATTGTACCATGTTTTCCATCTTATCCTTAGACCACATCAAATAAAAATCCTGCTTGTAGGTTTTTAAATCACTTTCAACCAACCTTTCAAAACCTCTTCTAGGATTTGGTGCAATGGAGAAATTTCTGGTAGAATATAAGAGTGCGGTGGAGAAGAAATTGGCTGAGTACAAATGTAATACCAACACAGCGATTGAACTGAAATTAGGTACGTATGTAATTTCAGAATGATTTTATGTATGCAACTGAATGTGTATATAACATAGCCTTTTAAAATTTGAAATAAAATTTTATGTTAAGAATAATTACGCAATTGGTATTTCCTGCATGTGTGAACGTTGAGGTTGTATGCAGCCTCGAGTTAGGCCATGCAATCAATGGGTAGATGGAAGATGGCAGTTTAACACATGGGAAAGATCCTGTGACAAAAACGCACAGGTACATGTAATCTCAGCTTCTTAATAATACTTACTTTCTTGCTTTTGAAAATGATAGCTGGGGCTGGAGAGATGGCTCAGAGGTTAAGAGCACTGGCTTCTCTTCCTGAGGTCCTGAGTTCAATTCCCAGCAACCACATGGTGGCTCACAACCATCTGTAGTGAGATCTGATGCCCTCTTCTGGCCTGTAGGCATTCATGCAAATAGAGCACAATTTAAAGAAAAAAAAAAAAAAGATAGCCAATAGCAGGTGTTGGTGAGGATGTGGAAAAAGTTCATATATTAGTGGTAAGTATCTAAAATAAGATAATAACTTTAGCTTGGTTTTAAAAAACAAATAAGCATAAATTACATATATGAGCCAACAGTTCTATTAGGCGTCTGTTCAAGAGAAGTGAAGATGTTGTTCATCTAAAAACACATGAGTACTCAGTAGGTATATTATTCACAATAGCCAAGTGGTCTAAACAACTCAGATAAAACACCAGTTGGTAAACAGATAAAGTATGCTCTAACTGTTCAGTGGAATACTGTCTGACAGGAAAAAGGAATGGAGTCCCGATACCTGCCACAGTGTGGAGAAACTTCAGAATATGCTAAGTAAGAGAAGCCAGGAAAAGTCACCATAATGTATGGTCCATTTGTATGAAATGTTCAGAAAAGACATCCATAAAGACTGACAGTAGAAGCCGGGTGGTGGTGGTATACGCCTTTAATCCCAGCACTCGGGAGGTAGATGCAGGTGGATCTCTGAGTTTGAGGACAGCCTGGTCTCCAAAATGAGTTCCAGGAAAGACACATTGCTACACAAAGAAACCCTGTCTTGAAAAACCAACCAAACAACCAAACAAAAAGATTGACAGTAGAAAATCATTACCCCAGGCGAAATGTAAGAACAGGGTAGGCATGGAATTTCTTTTTGTGCACAGTAGAAATGTTTCAAAATTAGTTGGTGGCAAAATTAAGTTTACTAAAATCGTGTGCTTAAGTAGAAGAAATAAACATTTGGGAATCCTGATTACATTGCTTTCCATACCTTAGTTTCCTCCTCTTTAAAATGTAGTTGTTGCTGGAGGGCTTCTCTCCAAGCTCCACCAAGCCCCGCAGTCCCACAATCCACATATAAAATAATCACTCAGATGCTTATATTTTTTATAAACTGTATGGCTGTGGCAGGCTTCTTGCTAACTGTTCTTTTATCTTAAATTAACCCATTTCTATAAATCTATACCTTGCCATGTGGCTGGTGGCTTACCAGAGTCTT